CCGACCTTTTAGAATTTGTATAGGTGTATAGATACGTATCATTAAAAAGTTTGCTTATCCAATACGGTTTTAACATAGAAAAATTATAAATTATAAGATTTCTGAAACCCCAAATTAAAAGGCTAAAATTTTTAAATAACAGGCTTACACTGTATAAAATGGGCAAGCATAATTAATTAACTTGTGGAGTAATTGATGTTGAGTTTTAAAAATTTTATCGATTGAAATTAGATTAGCGTAATAGTAAACTAATACTATATTACTTTTTTTTTCTAAACAAAATTATGTGTGAATCGTAAAATCAATATTTTTTTAATTTTTGAAATTTTATAAATGCTTAATAGTGACTACTTATATGTAAATAAACTGTTTAAAATATAAATAGAAAATAGCTTATTCATTCAGATAAAGGGCTAACCCGTAATTAACCCGTCCTAATATGAAATAAAGTAGCCGGACTAGGCCCATTATTTTTTCAAAACATTTACAGACAATATATATTGTTATCCAGGCAGAGCCTTTTATTATTTTTTTTAAATAAAATTAATTTTATTTTTCTCATGATAAAGAAGGTTGCTGTTAACAAAATATATAAAATTAGGTAAATATAAGTTTAATAGTTACATTCCTATTCACCTTATCATAACAAAACCATAATCCAAGTATAATAAATAAATATAATAATGCAAGTAAGGGTTATTTGAATATGATATGGGAATGGGATAGTTCTCTTAATTTAAATATGTTTGATTATCTAGTGATATGTTTGATACACTTTTAACTGTTAATCACTATAATTTATTAACACTACCAAAGTAATATAGAAACGATAGCTTACTTTACCTATACAGTAAAAAATAAAAATAAACTAAATATAAATATAAATTAGCTTATCCCAAAAGAACAATCACTTTTATTTTGTCAGGACAAAATATTTTTTATAACTAATTTAATGGGTTCGTTTTCTTATTTGCTTTCAGGCTCTTTACAAACGAGGCTCGCCAAAATTAGACTATTTTAGGGTATGCCAACTTTTGGTTCTTATGAAGTTTTTGGTTTCCTTATGGCTACTTATTTTGATTTTCATTTCCTTTGTTTTTTTGCTAATTTGGATTTTATTTTTCTTATTGATTTGGCTTTGGTTATGGACCTAAGTTATTTGTTTTTTTTGCAATTTCGAAGATTCTGAATAATTACTATCAGGGCATTTTTATAAGAGCCATTTGTTGCTTTGTATATATAATTTTATAATCATAATTCTCCCAAAAAATTAAGACATTTATGGGGCAAGGATGCAGCAATTATTTTATCTAATTATGATTCCAGTTTTCTGAAATTGCAAGAATTGGAAATTAAACCTGAATCATTTACGATAAAATTGGAATCGATGTAGTGATGAATGGAATGCCTAAAATGAAATCCATGACAAAAAAATTTTTTTGGAATACCAAAGTATAATTTCTGCTCAAAAAAAATTGATTTTTTTAAGAAATATATAATTTAATTTAAAAAATATATATAAATTCGAATTTTAATAAAATATAAATAAATTCGATTTTTTATAAAATAGATCTATCATTTCTTTTTTAAACAAAATAGGTTTATCGGTTACTTTTAGATATTTAATTTTTTTTTAATGATCATCATTTTTTTATTAAAAATAGGTTGGAATTTCTAAAAATATAGATTATTTATTTTACATCGAAAATATAAAATACCAATATAAAATTCTATTTGATGAGAAAAATAAAGAAATAAGACTCTTTTAAAAATATAGCAGCATTCATTTTTCACTATGAGCGATTAAATTGATATTCAATAATTGTGAGACTATGTTTAAGGTACTCGGACATAAACCCATGCATGGGGTTAGAAAAATACTTAATTAAATATTACCTGAAATGAGGTTATTTAAATTTTACGCAAGGATGATCGTTTTTATGAAGAACACTTGATTATTTAATATTCTTATTATGTCTATAACTTAAAGGGAATCATAAGAGATATTCTAAAGTTCTATTTTCTAATAGTACTCTTCTTATTTCAATATTAAAATTCAAAGTAGTGTCTATTTATATTGAGGTTTTAATGACTTGTTTGATGAGTTTTATTAAGCATAGGCTCCGATATCTTTTTTTTTAGTAGGCATTATTTAAAAATGGAACATTTTAATATGGGTGAAATTATTTTGTTTCAACGATAAACAATAAAGACGTATAGATTATAATTTCTTGGACCATATGTGTAATAATGCTTATTAAGAAAATATAATGCATTTCATATAATTTTTAACTTTTTAACTAAAATTTGATCATAACAGTGAGGTAGAAGCTCCAATCAGGCAAAATTTATATTATCAAAGTTGCTTGACTTAAATTTCCGAAATTAGGTGGTAAGTTACAATATATGATTTTAATCAATATTCAATTTACGAGTGTCTCTTCCTATTAATTATTTCCATTTTGAAGGATTATTTATATTTATATTAAATTCTGACTGATGTGTATGCGTTCAATAATCAATATCATTTTATTGAAGCATCACCAAAATCGAGGATATTTTAAAATTTCAAATGATCTTATAAAATTGAATATTTTTTGTTATCTAACTGAATGTCCCCACTATGGCTCCACTTTTCTGCTATGCTTGCTATGTCTGTCACTAATATATAATTAAATTTACATTTGATTATTTGTCTAGTGTTGTTAAAAAAAGTTCGATTCACTCGATATTTCAAAACGACCCGATTAAGATGATAGCCAAAATAATTTATGTAAGCCTCTTGATTTGGCAAATAGGTGTATTTTTCTTCCATCTATGAGCAAAATCGCTTACTTTCTTTCTTTTTTTTCTTCTTTTATTTCTTTCCTTCCTTCCTTCCTTCCTTCCTTCCTTCCTTCCTTCCTTCCTTCTATACCTAAAACGAATTATTTGTTATTCGATATTCGATTCGATTCGTATTTTACGAATACGAATAACACAATTATTCGATTCAAAAATTCGAATCGAATTTGAATAAGGAAAATATATTATTCGTCGAATAATTTTTTATCTATTATTCGATCGAATTATTCGAGATTATTCGACTAAAATAATTTATAGTATTAATATATATTGGAAAATAATCATATATAAATCATATATTATTATTAGGAATTATTTGAAATTATTTCAATTTAATAAAATCTCCTAGTGGAATAATGAAAATTGCGCCAAATTTTGAAACTCCATTTTAATTTATCTCTTAATAGACCATTACTTTAGAAATTTCTTTTATGATAGAGATGGATGAAGAAGGTAATTTATATAACACATAACATATACAAATATAATAAACTGTTAATCCCATCACATCAAGAATGACGGGCAAACCTGATATTTCTCTTTCATTTGATGATGGAGAAATCATAAATTTGACTTTTTGCCTAAAGTTTTTATTACTTTATTTGTAAAATATTGCTAATGCCGTGATATCTAAAATGGCGAGGGACATATTGTCGATACAGGGATCTTCAACCCCATGTGAGCGACTCTTTTCTGTTGGAGCTCATATGGTTACAAAATACAGAATGTCGTTAAAGGAGGAAACAATCCGAAAAACTTTATGTTTGAAAAATTGGCTGTTGTCAGATTTATCTTCTACATTATATATATGAATATTATATTGATTTTTCCACATTGTATATAAATAAATTATATATGTATGCTTCTATTTTGTCTCACTAATAAAATTTGTTTGTCTTTATCCTTAGTTAAATTTTATAATAGATCTTTTTTAATTCATGGTAAATAAAATTTTCGAATCGAATCGAATAATCATTTTATTATTCATACGAATACGAATAATAAATTATTCGATTCGATTCGTATTTTTGTAGGTATACTTCCTTCCTTCCTTCTTTCCTTCCTTCCTTCCTTCCTTCCTTCCTTCCTTCCTTCCTTCCTTCATAATTGTTTTGATTATATTCTCAATCGGGCCTTTTTTTAAAATGGACCCGAATTGGGACATTTAACACATCTATCCCAATCTGAGTAATTTTTAATGCAGTCTAATATCTAATTATTGGAAAAATTTTTTCGCATTTAGATTTTTTTTTATTAAATTGATTTTCCTTCTATAAATTAAGGTCATAGGGCTATTATCAAGCTATATAAATTAAACAATTGCTCCAAGATGATTTTACTTCGAGATATTTGTTAAATGCAAAATTGGAGATGATCTAATACCTTAGAATTTATTTACATTATTCTAACTTATTGTCTCATCGTGTATTCTTTTTTTAAGCTAGTTATCAGATAAAAAAAAAGACATTTTTGTACATCTAATTAAAATAAAACTATATATCATGATAAAAATTCACGATAAATTAAAATAAAGAAAAACTATATCAAGCTTATAAAAATCTTAACAATTTTTAATAAAGGCCATAAGGCTAAAGTAGTGTTATTAAACGGCTCGTTTTGAACCGATATTTAAAAAAGGCTAGCTCAATATTTTATTAGGAAAAATATTATGCAAGCCTTAAGATTTTGCTCATAGGTGGCACAAAGGTTTCAACATCTATTAGCGAAATCTCGAGGCTTATAGACAATATTTTTCTAGCTAAAATATTGAGTCAGCCGTTTTTAAAAATCGGCTTAAATCGAGCCGTTTAACAACACTAGCTTAAAGTAAAATATGTGTTTAAAATTTTCTTAATAAAATTAATTCATGAAAAAAAAGCGAATTTTTGAAATAATTTTTCAGATTAATAATTGTTAGTTTGGCTAGGTAATAATTTATTTTACACTGATAAACTTTTTCTTGTTAATCTTTTTAAAGATGATCTAAGAATATTGAATAATAATTCATCTCTACCACAACGGCTTATTTAATGCATTATTTGTCATATTTTATATAACTATAATTAAAGCTTTTTATGATTTAAAAAAAAAATAAAATAATAGCACACCCCATCTAAAATGGTAGTTTAAATTTTTTTTTAAATACTATAATTTACCTTTTTATCATTTAAATTCCTAATAGAATAGAAATAGAATAGGAATATCTAATACATACAGTATATTGTAAATTTATAATAATTTTTTTATTTTATACTTCAAGATTCAAGTATGTAGCCAACTCAGACATTATCCTTGGAACATTCTTTCGTCTTAAAAATTCACATATCGTCATAAAAATCAAAAATTATTCTTTATAAAATAACAACTTTTTGGATTATAAATCATGAAGAAGGAAAAAAAAGATGATAACTGAATAAAATATCCTCTAGGGAAAACTCTTGTTTGGCTTTAGTAAAGATTAAAAAAAAGAATTTTTTATCAATAACGATAAAACAAAATATAATTGAATTAATATTTTTATCTAAATTTTAAATAAAAGTAGAAAAAACATTATGAAAATTTAAAGAGGAGACAGTCCAAGTTGGTTGTTGATTTTTTTGTTTAAATGTAAGTTGTTTAGTTGATTTTTCTCTCGAGATATTAATTTGCACAAAATCAAATATAAAGAAAAATAAATAAATTATTTATTGAGTTTATTGCGTTATGACAAGGTTATTTTTGGACGATTTGTATGAATTGTACCAATTGGACAAGGATAAAAACATTAAAAATGACAAAAATATTGTTATATTGCTACAAATATTTGCGACTCGAAAAGATAAGAATTCCAATAATTTTGAATATAATTTTATCAAAAAAATTGATTATTGTCATGATTTTTTTATCGCTAATGACGAATCATCAAGAACGAGATTGTTTCGGACAGATAAATTCTTAAATATATATCATGGCGAAAAATTATTCGGTGAAATTACAAAATCTCATGATAGCTCATTATTTTATTACGCATTTCTACATTTTTACCAAAAAAACTTCGATTATAAATATTTTGACGAAAATTCCCTATATTATAAAGATATTTCGGGTATTAACGGTACTATACTCATTAATTTTGGAATTAAAAAACTACCTCCACCATGCCAGATTTGCAGATTAAATTTATTTCATGTTAATAAAATTTATAACGAAAATATTTTCTTTTGCAATCTTAATGGAACATACAACAGTCGTTACTATAGCAATACTTTAAATTTGATACAAAATGTTAGCAAATCCACCGCTAAAATCCTATACCAGGACATTGTTGATGTCTTTGCAAGATTTAGAAATACTTTGAATCGTCAGATCTTGAGAGTTATAACTAAAGAATCTTGTAAATTCTCCAAACTCAAGCGCTACTTTTATCATGGAACATTTATTCATCAAAAAGTTGATTACAGGCAGCTAAAAACTTATGAAAGATACGGGGCTTTGAACAGAAACAACAACAATAATCATGAAGATGACGATGATTACAGAAATAGCGACGAAAAGCTTAGTCAAAATCATTGTAGTTTGCATTATTCGGAACAGGGGCCGGCTATATTTAACAGTCACACTCGACTTATTAGTTTTGGTTTGAGGAAGATCAAATCCACGCCAACAGTTTCCTCCCACCCTTGCCATAATAATATAACAAGACTATGGAACTCGGAGTTTAATTTGCATAGTGAACGTAAAATACCCGTGATTACACCTTTAAAATTTCAAGAAGATTTATCCATATTAGAAGACGTAAACAAGGAGAGCAATAATAATAACGAATACGGAGACGAGTCTCAACATGTATACATACGAACGTATTCTACACCCATATTTTCTTCACCTGATCGAAATATTTTACCTTTGGGGTCTCCAACTAAATTTTCGCTGCCAGATGATTATCTCAATGTTCAAGCCATCACAAATAACATTAATAATAATAATGAACCTTTTGATAAACAAATAGTTGAAAACAAAATCAATAAAAATAAAGGACATAATAAATCGTCTAAAAACTTTGAAATCGATGTCACTAAATCAATTAATAAATTTGACAATAGAATATACCCGATAAGCGGTAATGTTAGGAATCAAAAATCACCACAATTTTTCAATAAGAATACTGGTTTGTCAAAGTTTTTCGATTTTTCTACCCTCGCGGATTATTACAATTCTCTCAAAACTAAGCAATCTAAACAAGAATTAGCTAAATCGGATAATTTCTCGAACACAAAAAGCGGTTCTAGTTTGCTAAGTAGCGCGACCAAGCCAAAAATTTTAAATATTGTCGAAGCCCTACAACAATCCAATCAAAATTTGTCTTATAACAAAGCATCAAATTATTTAAGTCGCTCAGATAGATCTGACATAAAACATAGGTCATCTTTGGCCCTTTTTCCATTGCATTATAACACAGACGCTAAATATAATTCGGCGACAAAGAACATTAATTTTATTACCGACATTGCCTCCATATCTTTAAAACAGCCTGGTCGAAAATTCGCGCAGTTGCAAAAGCCGGAAACTCTCATGAAAAAGAAAAAAACACATAAAAAGAACGGTGCAGGCATCGCTTCCACCTCCATTGCAAATATTCAAGAGACAAACGAGGATGACAATTTGGTGTCCAATAGCTATATATATTCTCAGCGTTCGAGTGACCCATTAGTTCCCACCATTTTTTATACACAAAGACAAGCTTCTCCCAACAATATTTCCCAAGATCACAATTATCCTGTCATTGATACGCCTGAAGAAAATGAGGGAAAAACTCCGCGCCATTCTTTAGCTAAGATTGATAAATCTGTTTTACACCCACCCGATTTAATCGCTGCGAAACCAGATAAGCATCAATATGCATGGACCAAATTCTTTAAATCTTATAAAAAAGATACCTCAAGAAGTAAAATAACATCCTCGAAAGATCAGGATTTCCATCCTTCTAAAAAATTGTTCAAATCCCAGCCCTCGAAATCAAACTATAATGAAGATGATGATTCTATTCTATTAATACCTTTAAAAAAAGATGATATTCTACATCAGACTAGCAAACAGCAAATGAGCCACGAAAGGAGTTATGGAACTACCAATGATGCCCTCAATGATAGCACAGAACTGCCTTACCTGAGCGAGAGTTCTATATTCAAAAATTTAGAATATATCGAAAAGGAAGAGACCAGGGTATTTCCTACTAAGGGTAATCAACGACCTACTTATGATCATTTTCAGCATAGGCGAACAAACTCTTCGCCTTTTAAAACTCTATCCAATAACGATACCTCAGACCCTAATCTAGCCATCATCAAAGATTCCAATTTATATTCCAAGATTAAAACAACAAATGATATAATCAATGACCAAACCTTAACCAAAGATAAATCATCATTTAAAAATTCTAACGTACCAAATGAGGATAAAGCTTTGTACGTTTATTGTAACAAATATATGGACAAAGAAAAACAAAAAATCGAAAATCACGAAGACACTATCGGGAAAAGGATAAGTGATCAAAGTAACAATAATTATTCTAATCGTAAGATCGCCTCTTTAGAAGGTCTAAATATGGACCACATAAGGAATTCGTACTACAAATCCGATAATATTTTGATAAAAAATTTAATGAAAATCCCTTACAAATTGATTCATAAAAAAAGGCCCGAAAATAATCTCAAGAAAGGTTACGAGAACCGCGTATGGAAAAACGATTTAGAAAGAGGCACCGATTCCAACAAATCTTTACTAAAAGAGGATAGCGAATATTACAGTGGAGATTTAGAGATCGTCAAAAGACCGAAGGCAGTCTTCAAACCAAATTCTTCGAATTTTAAAAATTACTATGCCACCAATGGTTTGAAAAGAATAAAAAACTCTGGCGATGATAATAATCTGAAACAAGAGAATGCGGGATACCGCCTTTTCCGGCGCAAGGCTTTGTTCGAAAAACGCAAAAAACTCAGTGATTGGTGCCTTATATTAGCTGTTATCGGACTGGTTCTTATGATATTCGAGAACGAATTATTCTATAGGACACAATCTCCCAAAGTATTTTGTATAAAAATATGTTAATGTTAACTTAATACCGATTTTTAAGTCATTTAAATATTTTTTTATAAAACTTAACAACTAGCGGATTTTAAAAAATTAAATTATAAAATTGTAAATTAACTTTCAAGACAACCGTAATTTAGTCACTTTTTTAAAAACGACTGAAATAAAAATATATTACCTAAGCCTCTAGATTTCTAAATTGATGGCAGAAAAGACTAGTTTTCTTTTGACCGAATCTTGAGGCTAAATTGTTTTTGGCTAAGATCTTTTGATTTAGCCGTTTTTTATAAAAGCGCCTAAATTGCGGTTTTCGACATACTAGGATATAAGTGAAGAAAACTTTTTTTACATTTTGTGAATATTCAGTAAATAGGTTTGCATAATTTAAATTATTATTTTAGTAAATTTTGTTTTCAATCGTCTAACTCGATCCAACTCCAAAACGAACTGCGAATCTAAGTTGATTGAATAGGCTTGAGTGGCTTATTTCTTTGGCCTCAGCTTCGAGGATTGACAATTTTTCTTCACTTTAACCTCAAAGCTGAAACGATTTTTTCCCCTCAATTCTGAGGCTGCGCCATTTTTTGGTAACGACTTGAGTAGAGCGATTCTGCAACACTAGTCATATTGTTCGCCCTCCTTTAATTTGAACATAGAAGTTATCAATTATAAAACCCTTCTTTTCAGTTCATAAATAAAATATTATTATGCAAGTCCTACCATGCTCCCTTCCATATGTTCATTTGTAATTTAACTCTTAAAGAGGAACCTTTTTCTTTGAGAACCACAATTTAAAAAAAGGAACTTTTATATACTATATATGCAATTACCGTTTTATAAAAAAAAAATTTTTTTTACCAGGCAATCACTATCATTGTCGCCTTCACCTTCAAAGTTCTAATAACAATATCTACAATAATGTTGCTCATACTCCTTATTTACTATTATAAAACAGAACTCCGGGTAATTTCATATAAAAAATATTATGTTGTGTTATTTATGTTTATTTTTTGGTTGAACCAACATTTTATTTATGTTATCGTATAATTGATTCATGGTGGATAATTCGATTACAATTTTACAAATTTACAACTTCCTCCCTCATAGATAAAATTATTAATGTAATAATTTTTTTAAAAAAATCTATTTTATATTGACATAGATATTTAAAGTGGAAAATTTTGTCGAGGATTGGAGAGTTGCTATAACATCTAAGGGAGTCCTAATGTTGATAATAGAACTAGCCATTTGCTGCATACATCCCGTTCCGAAACTTGCTTTTTTAAAATATCTAATGGATAGAAACAAAATGGCTCATTATTACTTCAACGATGATAATGAAGATCTACAAACAAATTCTACCGTCCATTTAACTATTTTAGCCCCTATAATTCAAAATGATCTGCCCATCGCTCATAAGTTTATTATTATTTGCAATCTGATTTCGATATTTTTCGATCAGGGCGCAATTATTATAACTAATTGATTTAAGAGACCCCTTTAAGAAAAATACATCACAGGGTTATTTGAAAACTAACAAAACCATAGATATTAGAGCCACCATATAAAAATAACCTTAAATATAATTTGTTTTCATATGATATATTTCATTCCATTTTAGTCAAACTGATGTGATACTTTCGGTGCTAATGTTTTCGCGTTTGTATTTGGTCGGTCGTGCTTTACTATTACACAGCAAAATGTTTAGCGATACTAGTTCCAGAAGTATCGGCGCGCTAAACAAAATCAAATTTAATACGCAATTCATATTTAAAACGTTGATGACGATGTATCCGGTAACGGTGTTATTAAGTCTCATGATATCTTGGTTTCTCTTGGCCAGCTGGATATTACGCACTTGCGAAAGGTTATTTCCTTTGATACAAATATTTTGTGGAAGATTGTTGTTACATTTGAGTCTACTAAGAAAGAAAGAAAGAAAGAAAGAAAGAAAGAAAGAAAGAAAGAAAGAAAGAAAGAAAGAAAGAAAGAAAGAAAGAAAGAAAGAAAGAAAGAAAGAAAGAAAGAAAGAAAGAAAGAAAGAAAGAAAGAAAGAAAGAAAGAAAGAAAGAAAGAAAGAAAGAAAGAAAGAAAGAAAGAAAGAAAGAAAGAAAGAAAGAAAGAAAAAAAAAATATTTATAATTTATTTTCTACTTTATATATTTAAATTTAGGCAACATGACCCAAATAATGCCAATATATTTAATGCATTTTGGTTAACCTCAATCACTTTTTTAGCTATTGGTTACGGTGATCTAGTTCCAAATACTTATTGCGGTAGAGGTATAAGTGTCTGTACCGGAATAATGGTATATGTCTATATTATTTTTGTTTACATTTTACATTCGAGGGGGATTTTATTGGTTTGCTACTCACGCAAAAAAATTTTACTACATTATCTTCAATTTTTATTAAGCTATATGCAGCTATAAGCCTTAAGCTAAGAAACATACCAGATACTTCACTTCTAGCGTTTGAGAAATTGAACATTTAAAATATATTATATATTCATTTTATTATTGCAAAAAACATACGATAAATTATGTTGCAAATGTTCAAATGATAAATTTTTTTTTTTAGACTTGTTATTTAACATAAGCACTCTAACCTTAGAACGATTTGCCTTCTGAATGGTTTTATTGTTTATTATATTTATTTTTAAAATAGTTAATAATTTTTAATATAAAATTTTAAATTGGGTCTAACGATCAAAAAAATTTTTTTTTAATTTTATTAACCATTTTACCTTATCTTATATTTATTATTATTTTGTAAATAGTTTTTTTTGTCAGGAATAATTTTTTTTTGCTTGTTTTATTATTTGGAGTTGGTTCGAAGTTCAAAACGACATTTGTCTTTAATAAAATTGTTTATAAATTTTTGTCGAATAGCTGACATTTATAGTGGAGAAGGTAATTATAATTGTAAGCGGCAGATATGTCATAAAGTGATTTGCCTTAAATTTTCGCTTGGCGTAATTTCAAATCATTCATGCATTTTTTGTTCAATTTCTAAATTTAATTAGGAAAAGAAAATTCAAGTGGAGCATTTATTTAGTTTATACCAATGTAATTATTTAGGATAATAATAATAATAATAATAATGTAAAGGCTAAATCTAAATGGTCAATCCTTCAATTATTTTGAAAGGAATTAATGGACGAATAGGTGAGCATATTAACGTATGCTCATGGAAAGCCAATATAGGGGGGGGGGCTAAGTCCTTGGCAATTTATCAACCTTGCCATTCAAAAAAAGTAACGCCTTACTCGTTACTTAAAAAATACCAAATATTATATATGATTTTTATATTTTTTACCAATAATTCCAAAATTAAGATAAACAAAAGCGCTTAAGCTCAACATAACTTGTGCTAAACACACTTTCAAATAAATAAAAAATTAAATAAGGGAATTTATTTAAAATATGATCTTTATTTTCAAAAAAACTTATTACATCACCTTCAGAATTTTCATCATCCTCATCAAAATATTTTTATCTTTATCAGAATTTATTCTGAATTTATATTTTTGCCTTCATATGTTTTTTTAGATTTGAGCTGCTGGAAAGGTTGAAATATTTTAATTAGAGCACAATCTACATTTACAAAGTCAAGACTTAGTGCCCTTAATTTTCTTTATTTATATAAAATGTGTTTCATACTGGGGTGGTTGTTCTGAATTAAAAAACTTGGCTTAAATTGTTTATTTTAAAAAAAACATAATATATAATAAGATGAAATATTTTTTTCCATATTTTTTAAAGAGCGTTACTCGAAGAAAAAGAAACGCGTTATTCGTTGCCCTTTAAAACAAGTAACGAATGGCGTTCTTTTTCCTCAAATAAGGTAAGACGTTACTTTTATTAACATTTACAAGACTATTAAATATTATTAAGACTAACAAAAAAATGTTATATGTTCTGCTGTCAAGAAATGATTATTTCTTAATAAGCTCGAGCTTATTTAAGGGATAATCGTTTAAAATTTAAAATTAGGAAAATAAGGGGAGTACCGTTGAATAATGTCAAACGCATAAAAATCTGATTTGGCTTATTAATAGTTGCCATTCTAATTAATTAATATGGAGCATAAAACTATAAATTCCGAAACCTACAGAGCTAACTTAAGTCAACATATTATTTTAGATAGAAATCTATGAAAAATTAACTCAATTACAATCTATCAAGCCTCGCTTTCCTTTTGCATATAACCTAGGATTCAGTTAGCGAAGAATGACTTTGCAGAAATGAGCGATGGCATAAATCTTTAAGATTAATTGGCCCCATATCATCCCCATGAGGAACTTTATTTAAATTTATTTGATAAATAATATTCTATTATAGTTCTTAGGAATGGTTTAGGAGTATGTAATGTTAAAGAATACTAAATGGGGTATTGGATATTTAAATAGTTTAGCTACATTGTTGGGTGTTAAGGTATTATTTTAATTCTCGGAAAATGTTTATTTTATTTTATTTATAGATCTCTCTTTATTTATACAAGTTAAAGGTTCTCTCACATTATTATTAACTGTGAAGAATATACTTTTGCTTATCAACTTTAGCTTGAGAGCAGGGAATCTCTTTATTTTTAGATCAAGTTGAATAAGATGTTTGTTGATATGAAACTGTCATGAGGTGGATGTTTAAAATATTGCAGAATTATGAGGGATAACTGGCATTAATACCATATGATATATGATGAATAATTATTATATTTTTTCTGTAACACAAGTTGTAGATCATTTTATTTATTACAACAATTGAATAATAAAGGGGGGTTTGATATTTTTTTTTTAATTTCGGAAAATTCTTTAAAAAGTTTGAGAATATCTATTATAATAATTACCCTGGGAATTTTTTAAAAAATCTATATTTGGAATATTATTGATTCTTTTAATTTATATAATTTTAATTAATAGAAAATTGTAAATTTTTTTTAAAAAAAAAATATTCATCGAAATTTAATTTTAGATAATCTATAGATTCATTTAATAATGTATGTTTTTTTTTAATTTATTGATTTTAAACCTAAGGGTGCTGGTTGTACCGCTTTAGTTGTGGCCGTGTTAGCCAAAAAACTCGAACTTACTAAAGCCGAAAAACATGTCCACAATTTTATGATGGATACGCAATACACTAAAAGAGTAATTTAATTAATTATCTTATAATTTGAGAATCACGTGTTTTTCCTTACACATGCCCTAAAAAATTATTTATGGTTTATAACTTATTACATGTCATTTCTATCCCTTCACACTTGATTCCATTTTAAATAATTTATAGTAAAATATATATATTTAATATTAAAAAACTATATTATAGTTGAAACACGCGGCCGCTAACGTTTTAAGAGAAACCTGGTTAATTTATAAATTTACCAAGTTGACTCAACGCTCAAATGTTAACCGAATTAGAAAACATCAAAGAAAATTTCTTGCCGCCATTAAAAAGTATAAAAGAATATTTCAAATAATAGTAGCTAAATAATTTGGAGACAACTATAATTCTGGATTTTAATAATTTTAGGTCTTACAGCTATTTTTAGATTTGTTTCCAAATTTATTTTAATTAATAAACTTTCTTTTGTAATTGTAATACTTGCTTGTTGAATAAAATAAATTTATATTTTTCTTGTTCTTTGTAAAACTACTATAAAGAGTTTTATTTTTTTTAAACAATTTTTAGTAAAATATAATAAATTAGTTAAAATTTATCACATCTTTTGAAGCTTGCGGCAAGTTAAAACTGACCAAAGGAAGCTGCTGGATAGCCAAAACGCACTAATCGACATCGCCAAAGTATAATTACCTTTAACTACCATACACTTAATACATTCACTAACATTAATTTAATAAAATTACCATATATTAAGTTGAGAATAAAAATTTTAAATAAGAAGGGAAAAGCTAAAATATGATAAATTATGTCTGATGGATATTGAGCATGGTTTGAATGAAGTTAGTAGGTCATCTTAAAAATAAAACAAAAAGTTACAATTGTGATAAATTGCGAAGAGAAGAGAGATTTTTTTTAAAGATATAATTACATTACATAGGAGTATCCAGGATTTTGCTAAGGGGGGGGGGGTACTATTAGATGAATTTTCTCCCCATAAATTTTATTGGAGAACTTTAGGTCTACTTATTGTAGGCTGACTATATTCAATTTTTATAAAAATAATTATGGGTTTTCACTTTTATTTTATATAAAAATCCTTTTTTAATTTTTTTTTTCTCTTTAGCTTTCACATTTTCTGGTTGTAAGCTCCTTCAACATCTCTCTCCACTTTATGTTATTCATACAATCTCTTTTATCTAATTTATACTTCTTTATATTGGCTCTAACTTTATGGTCCCATTGAAGTTTTGGCCTTCCTCTTTTACGTTTGCCCATCGCTTCCAAACTCTCAACCTTCCTATCTAGTTCATAGGCCTTCTCATTGTGTGCCCATACCACCTAAGTCTGTTTACCATTAACTTAGTCTTAATGGGCACTACCTTTAAACTACTTAGTATTCTTGTACTGCGCACTTTATCCTTTCTTGTTACCCCAGCAATCATCCTCAACATTCTCATCTCCATAGTTTGTAGACTTCTCTCGTCTGATTCCTTGGTTGGCCATGTTTTCGAACTATATAGAATAGTTGGTTGTACTATAGATATGGAACTGTAAATTTTTCCCTTTAATTTGTGTGGGATCCTTTTGTCAAATAGCACTCGAGATAAAGATCTCCACTTAAACCACCCTTGATTTATTTTACTCATCTCCGTTTGTTTGTATAGTGGAGCCCAAATATTTGCAGCTTTCAATTGCCGATATCTGCCATTCATTTATATCAATACTCTCTGTTTCATCTCCTCCTATCACCATATACTCCGTCTTTTCTCTATTTACTTTTAGTTCGTGCTTTTCTAGGATATTTATCTAACTCACCAATCTTTCTTTCATTTCATCCTTGGATTCGGCAAATATCACAATATCATCTGCAAATATCATATTCCACGGGACTGTTTGAGGTATAGACTATGCTAATTCATCTATTACTGTAATGAAGAGAAGTGGGCTGAGAGCCGACCCTTGATGAACTCCTTCGGCTATTGTGAAGCCTGCTGAAGTACCTGTTGTGCTAAGGACCATTGTTGTATGGCCCATATACATATCCTGTATTATTCTTATATATTTTTCGGGAACCTTTTTGTGGCGTAGCGCCCACCAGATAAGTTTTCTTGGGATTCTATCGAAGGCCTTTTCTAGATCGAGAAAGACCATATATAGCTTTTTGTTCTTTTCCCTGTATTTTTCAGTTATTTGCCTAATTGCGTGGATAGCATCAGTTGTTGATCTTCCAGGCATAAAGCCAAACTAAGTCTCTCCTATTTCGATTAGGTCTCTTAATCTCTTATCTATTATTTTTTCGTATAGTTTTATTTCGACAATTGTGTGGATCACCTTTATTTTTGAAGATAGGAACTAGATAGCTCTGCCTCCATTTTTGAGGGATCTCTTCATTTCCCAGTATTTTATTGTACAGATTTGTGAGGTGTATTCCCTCATCTCCTAGTGTTTTAAGCTATTGGAATATCATCTGGACTCCTAGCTTTGTTGTTTTTCATATGCTTTGAGGCATGTGATTATTTCTTGTTCTATTATAGGTTGTACAAGGTTTTAACATGGGGAGTGTTCGTCTAGATGTAGTATGTGGGGATTAAAGTTGAGAAGCTCCTGAAAATATTCTTTCCATCTATTCATTATTTCTTTTTCCTTTATTATCAATTTCCCATTTTTATTTTTGATTACTTTCGGAGCTCCGTTTATATCCCTAGAATTCTTTTCTCGTTGTTTGGCTAATCTGTATATTTTATTTTGCCCTTCTTTGGTATGTAGTTCTTCATATATGTCATTGTATACCATAGATTTGGTCCTAGCCACCGCCTTTGTAGCTAATCTCTTGGATTTTTTGTATCTTGTCTTGTCATCTGGGTTTTTGGATTTGTACCATATTTTATAAAGGGCTTTTTTCTCCTGTATAGTAGTTTGTACCTCTTCATTCCACCACCATATTTCTTTATATGATTTGTTACCTCCCCTTGTCAAGCCTAGTGTCGATTTGGCAGTGTCTATTAATCTGGATGAAAGGCCTGTCCACATTTTTACACTACTTGTGATGAATCTATTGTTTCAATGTTTGCATTGATTGCAAAAGCATCTGTCATTGTTTTTAATTTACCCCATTTGATGCATGGTCCCAGTTTTATCTTATTTTGAGTGGATTTATTTGAGATGTGTAAATCCATGACTAGTAGCTTGTGTTGCGTGGCGATATCTTCTCCTGTGATGACTTTGCAATCTATTACATCTTTTAATATTCTACGAGAGATTAGCATGTAATCTATCTGTGTTTTCCATGTACCACTTTCATATGTTATTACATGACTGTCTTTTTTCCTATAGTAGGTGTTGGTTAAGGCAAGGTTGAAGGCTTGCCCAAATTTCAATACATGCTCTCCTTCATCATTTCTTTTTCCATATCCAAAACCACCATGATGCCTTTGGTAGCTATCTCTTGCTTTCCCCACATGCGCATTTAAGTCACCACCTATTATGACTAGGTCATCTTTAGGGATTTCCATTACAGCTTCATCAAGGTTAGCTCTAAAGTCATCTATCTCTTCTTCCTTGCAACCCGTTTGAGGAGCATATACTCAAAGGATGTGTAGTATTAATTGACCAATGCAGAGTTTTATCTTTATTAGTCATAGTCGTTATTTTAAAAGTTATTAACTTTTACTAATTCTTTCAATTCTTTCCTATAATGATATTTGTATACATTTAAGGAGGGGGGGGGATTTTATTAGCCTAAAATGATATTTACTAAAGGAAGCAAATTTGCGATGAATATCTTTCGGAAAATCCAAAAATTTTAATCGTTTATCAATAACTTATCAAATGAATTTTTATATATCCTATCAATATTTACAAAAAGGTTACTTAAATATATTAAAAAATAGATTTAGTATCATCCCATCTTTGTAAAAAAATTTTTTAACTATATACATATATCATAGGAGTTTAGCAAATTCGTGATTATGCTTCATTCCGGTTTTTAACAAATTTTAAAAATTAATATCATTTATACCACGTGTTTTTTTATAATTTCGAAAAATTTTATTTTACCGGAATCGTACCAGCCAATTTCATCATGAATTTTCTTTAATTTATTTGAAAAACTTTATATCATCGGCTAAGTGTTATAGCGTTATCCACATTTTTGCAAAATACTTATATTGATAAATGAATTCTTCAGCACTCTATACTTATAGCTCCACGATAAAAATAATATTGAGAATAATCATATATTTACATTACTACACTGTGATCTCCTATTTAATATATAGGTAATATTCTTTTTTTTCTTAAATGTTCTCCTGAACATAAAAAAATAACACTATAATACTCAGCCGACGATATATAAATTAATAATAATTTAGGATAGTTTCAAGGTTTACGGTAAAATTTTCCTGATATTTCAGAAGGTAAGTATTCTATACATCCTGGAATACAAATCCGGATAAAATAGGTCTTTCAAAATTTTAAACAAACCTCGCTTTTGAAATGATTTCTGTTTTCAAGATTTACGTAAAAACCTCGATTTACTAAGTTCCTTATGATATATATATCTTAAAATAAAAGGGAAATATGTTAAAAGTAATATTTATAAATCTAATAAAACCTTATCTAAATTATTTTTGGAGTTTTTTTGTTATTAAGGCTTTGATATCGATTATTTACATGCTATTTTCCTTAATCAATCAAAACGAAAATCAATCTCGTATGGATATAAATATTATATCATTTTGTAAATCCTATGACATATGAATATAGATACAAATGTCTATACATGAGACAGTGACTCAAAGCAATGCAACTCAAATCAGTATAAATTCTCAGCTGGACACACTTCAAACTCAGATCAATCAAATTTTCGTCGAAATGCAAAATTTTAATAAAAACATTAAAAATGCAAACATTCAACACAATATAACATAAAATTATTATATTATAAAGAAATTCATTGATTATTTTACGAAATAGTATAATAATAATTTTTATATAATTATTATATGTATAAAAAAATACTCTAATTTTTTAGAAACATAAAAATTATTGTTGAATTTATGATTGCAATAGAAATAAAATGGATTATTTAATATCATGGATCTTATTAATTTGGTCTAAAATATTTAAATATTAGCGAGAGATTCTAGAAATAATAGTGTAAAAACATTTTGAGACAGATAAAAAAAAGGAGTAAGATATAAAATAAATTCTCAAATAATCACAATAATTATTTTAAAAAAAACATCATATCTGAAAATAAATGAAAAAAAAACAAATTGCTAAATTTTTATAAATTTGAATAGTTTATTGAGTTTAGTGAACCCCAAAATCATAAAATCTGAACAATCTAAGAAATCGCTACTTCAAATTTTAGGAACCGGAAGCAACCCCCATTTTAAATTTCCATGGAGCAGAATAGATACTCAATGTTTCATTTATTTTTATGTATATTGTTCGAAATATGATTCATTCCGAAGGGTTTATTTAAAACCTCCAGGTCCGAAATTAAAATAAGCCAAAAAACATATCACTTTTAAATTGATTCTAAGTTTCAATTATAGGTAAATTTAAACACGTTGATTGATTATAAAATATAAAATCTAAGGGCGCCCATGAACTTTTTTTTTGTCAAGGGTTAAGGGGTGGGTATTTTAGAGGTAAGCCTATGATTTTTGTTTGTTCTATGAATTCAGCATAGTTTATATCAGAGGTCCACAGACCCGGACAAAAGCTCGGCGGGTATCAGATTATGTGTGGTAAATGATATAATGGAGCATTTAATGTTCACCTAATACACTCAAAATTATTTTTTAAAAAAACATTTTAAAATATCCGGGCCGTAAAATCTTCAAAAAATAAAAAATCCGGGCTCCTAAGTTTTTTTTAAAAATAATTCCCGGGCTGGGTTTCCGGTTCTTGGAATAGGTTGCAGATCTCTGAATTATATTATGCTTTTTTGTAAATGATTTGGAATAAATCCATAAATTATTTTGATTTGGACCATCCTTTTTACGCCCAAAGGAATGAGTAAAAAGAATATTTTTTGTATTATCAGAGGTTGCGTTAAATCTGAAAGTCTTGAGATTTTTTCACATTACTTTTCTCTCTAAGGTTTCTCCCCTTATTTTTGAAGAGTCTTTTTTTTAAATCTTAAAGCCATAAATATAGTCTTTATATTTATTTGACGGTTTTTTCGGTATATGGGACGAGAGGTTTTAAGGGAGTAGTTGCCTGATTTGCTAAATTTGGATATGGGCGGGGATAGAAACGAAACCTTTTGTTTTTTTTGAAGCGTTATGTCAATATTTTAGCCAGAAAAATATTGGCTAAATCTCGAGATAAAGGTAATAGATTTCCAAACCTGTGCAATCTATGACCAGATCTTCAGTCTTGCATAATATTTTTATGAATAAAATATTGAGATAACCTTTTTTAAAAATCGGCTCAAATCGAGCCGTTTAACAACACTAGTTATGAGTTTATGATTACAGGATTGTAATCGTCTCATGCATAAGGCTCTAGATTCCCGGTTTATAAACATTTTAAGAGAAATGAGTAAATATAACGACTTTTAAAAACCATAATTTATGCCGTATAAATAATAAATTAGCAGAAAATTATATTCCTTTAAATATAAAAACGATATCAGAAAAATTTAGGCAATAAAAAAATAAAAAATAAAATTGAGTTTTCTCATTAGAGTTTGAAAAAAATAATCAAAATTTGAGCCAAAATCTATTTAATTTGTTGAAGTTCTTAATCAAATTTTCTAAAAATGCTAAAATCCTTTGTAAGTAAATCCTTGTCAATTTCATGAATAAAAATCTTTCAAATGAAGATTTTTTTCAAACTTTGACTAATAATATAATCGATGACTATCTAATGTCCTATTTTTATTAATGTAATTGATTTGTAAATAAAATAAAAGATTTAAATTTTAATTGCTATACATGATTAATGATATATTTAATGAAATATTATAAAAAATACACTCTAATATAAAGTTTGTATATAAAAATACTGTAATGTAAAATCGGTAAATAATCGAGAAAAAATTTAACTATAAAATTATTTATATATTTTTTTTTTATTTAAGACTCATTAGAATCTTCCTCTCCATTTGTTTGTTCCGTAATTGATGAGCGTTCCTGTTCAGTTTTTCGATCTATCCTTCTAGCATATCTGAATAAAAAATTGGTTTATGATAGAGGGGGCTTCAAATCGTTCAATGATTGAATGGAAAAACATTATTTAATACATATTTTTATTAATATTCAAAGATAATATATCAATAAATCTTTAAGCAGCGTTATACAAAGCATTTCAAACTTAAAAGAATCATTTGAAATTTTAAAAACATCTTGTGGAACATGTAAAATAATATAAAATTGTTTTAAAAAAATGCTTCGCAGATAATAAACTTTATCTTATTCAAATAAAACTTTCTTAGTAAAATATTATTAACTTTCCCCTAAACTAAATAAGTTTCACGTTAGCGGAAATGTGTTTTTATAGATAAATATACTTCTTCCTTATAAGTAAGAAACATTGTTTAAATAAATTGTTAAATTATGATTCATAAGTGAGGTGGGAGGGGGGTAAAGACTAAATTTCGGATGGAAAATTAGCGAAAATAGAAAGATAATTAAAGTTATGTTACTTCCTATGTCAAAAATGTATCGTGTTAATTGCTCCATTATATTTATTTCCAGTGGGAAAAGTTCTTCATATTATTTAAACGTTAATTTATATGTTTAAACCCCACAAAGAAGATCAACTATATTCATGCCAATAATATGTCAATTTTAATTTTATTTTAAAATACAATTAATCATAAAATTTTATTGTACCTTTTTAATAGTAGAATTTTTTTACAAATTAATTAGGTTAAGTAGAATCAAGCAATTGAATGTCCAAATTAGACATTATGTAAAATTTTATTTTTAAATAGTAATATGGCTCATCCCTACCAACTCATAGTTATAGTTAAAGTAGATATAATTACAATTAATACAAGTATGAAGTAAGATATAAAAAAAATGCGCGTTACCATACCCTTTCCCTTAAGATACGCCATTATTAATAACAGCATTATTATAAATAAATGTGTTACTCGATGAGTGGTAAAGCTAGAAGAAGTAAACACGCTCCTAAAAAGTACACGAACCCATTTCCGGCATGACCAATGAACCAAGCGTCTTTATTGAGCGAAATCGAATATAGTTTCGTGAAAAACAAAGAACTAATTATGGCAGTAATAGACTCGGTGCACGCTATAAGAGCAAATATTTTGCCTTTCGATTTATTAATTTTTTTAAAATATAAATAAATTAATATAATAAGTGTAAACCTCCATAAGTGTATTTAGAATTTTGCTAAAAGGGGGGGGGGGGATTTTAGATGAATTTTTTCCCCATAAATTTTATTGGAGATCTTTAGAGCTATTTATTGTAGGCCTTGGCTATATTAGATTTTCATAAAAATAATTTTGGGCTTTCACTTTTTATTTTATTAACCACTTGGGTGAGGTTCATAGGACTCAAGGCATGCTAGAATTGATATTACATAAAAACAGTTAAATACTATGATCTGTTCAGTAGCTTCATTAAACATATTTTAGAATCAACATTCCAAATTCCATTTATTTTGGTTGAGTAGTTTTTAATATATAAGCATGTTGTGACTGATTGGGGTCTGTGAGAGCCTATCAGAGTAAATACGTAATTTGTTTAAAATTATTATAATCATATATATACTACTTAATTATAAAATTTATTAAAACGAAATTTAAATATATTGTATTTTAAATGAGATATATTGAAAAGAAAACATATATACATCTTTTCTGGTGGAGTTATTTTATTTAAATTATTTAAAATGTAATATCATTTTTCATATATTTGATGTGAATTTGAGATAATAACATTATCATATGTTCCAAAGAAAGGAAAAAATGACATAATACTATTAATTTTTCAAAATAATAAAAATGTTGATACAACTGACCCAAGCAAACCTGAAATCATAACATTTTATATTATGAATAAACGTGGTATGGTATGGATATAGTTGATCAAATGACAAAATGTTATTCAATTTCAAGAAGGTCAAATAGATGGCCCTAGCAATTTTTTACACACTTCTAGACATACTTTCAATTAATTCACATAATATAGCAAGCATAAAAATATCCAATTATAAATAAAAAAAATATCAATGGAACTTATTATGTCATATTTGGAAGTTTGAAAAAAAAAGTATAAGATTTCCGTGACTTTTGAAAATTTTATTTGCATGTATAAGGTAACAGACCCGATTCTAGGCCCATTAAAAAAAATTTCAAACTGCCTCTCAAAAAATTTGACACTTGCCCCCCCCCCCTCCCCCCAAAAAAAAATTTTTGGAGAATATTTTATGGATAAATTTTTTAAAAATAAGAATGTTGTTATGAAATCTTAGGGAGATTTTTATTTCTTTTATCGATTTTTTGGATTGTTATTTTTTATTTTCTTTTATCGATTTTTTTGAATTGTGACTAACTTATTTTTGACCAATTCTTGGAATTTGTATTTTTTGAAAAAGATTTTTTTTTGTTTTCTTTCTTAGAAAAAAAAAATAAAAAATTATATTTTTTTGAAAAAAGATTTTGGTTTTTTTCTTAGAAAATGAAAAATAAAAAAGTTGTATGAAAAATAATAAAATTGAAAAAAGAAAATCCATTCAGCATTAAGGAAATATAACATTATTTAAGATTACGTAAATCTCGACTTAGAAATTCGGCGACTTAGAAATTAAACATAAGAAATCTAACACTGGCAACGACCAGAGGAAATAACTAAAATTCGATATAAAAGTATCAAAGATGACACCATCGATTCCCATTAAGGATAACAGTGATTCTTTCTCAACATTTCGTATTAAATTAGAGGCATATTTTATATTGAATGATATATCTGACAACGAGAAAAAAAGGGCAGCACTCGTATCTGCATTGTCCACCTATAAATAAAGTAATTTTAAAATTCGCTCCCAAATCTATTAATAAAATTAAATATGACGATATGTTAGATTCTTTGATAGCTAACGAAAAAAAAATAGCATTATTAGAAAGTTTCCAATTTGTTAAACGTACCTAAAGAGAGGGAGAAACTAATTTGGAATTTTTAAATTCGTTAAAGGCTTTAGCATTGAAATGCAACTTCAAAGAGAAATATGAAGAAAATCTAAAAATGCCGATTATCAACGGATTGGAGAGTACAGAGATCAAAACAAAGTTATTATTAGAAGAGGACATGGGAGTAGAGGAAATCGAAAAACTCCTCCGAACTATGGATTTGATAGAGGAAAAAGAAAAAGCGAAAGATATATTTTATTGTCAAGATGGAAAGGATCGATGCGAAATAAAATAGAAAGTAATAAAAAAAATTATATACAAGACAATCAAAAGCGCAATAGTAATAATAATAGCCAGGAACGATATAGGGACAATTATACTTACCAGACAAGATTAGATAATAGATTTATTAGATATAATTATTATAACAACTCGAAGTATGGAAGGCATAATAATGATAACCCGCAGTACAATTATAATAATGATAACAAATATAATAATGATAACAAATATAATAATGTTAACAAATATAGTAATAATGACAACAAATACTATCGATATAATTGGTACGATAACAATGAATATTATTATCATAAAAACAAATATCAATATTCTGATAAGATAAGGGGAAAGTACAGCACTAACAATAATAACTATAAATACAACGACAATCAATATTTCCAGACAAAAAAAACTTGCTTCAAATGCGGTAGTGACAAACATCTGATCAAATCTTGCGATCAAAAAGGCCACGAGGAAGATATATCGTATATATATACTCGATGGATATCAAATCTTGTAAAGAAACATTCAAAGTCAATCTAAGTATAGAGGGTAAGGAAATAAACATGATCCTAGATACAGGAGCTTCAGTATCAATTATTTCGTTAAAGACTTGGAATACAATCACCTCCGATAAAATTAGGAGAAATCGGCAACAAAAAGATTAAGAGACTCACGATCAGAATAATTCAACAAATAGAGCTACCGAAGAGGGAAAAATTTACGAATTCCAACAAGACTAAACTCACATCCAAGATCAACAACTTCGACTTCGGAAGGGGAAGGAAATGGAAGCAGGATACGAAAATAAAAAAAATACTAAACGAATTCTTATTAGCTTATAGAAACACCCAGCATACGACTACGGGAGAAACCCCAGCACAGATGATGTTCGGACGGAATGCTCGGAATCATCTTGAAATGTTTAAAGAAACCCATGAGAGCAAACAAGACGATACGCACACAGATCAAAGAGGTACATTTTTTAAGATAGGACAATCAGTATGGGCGAAAACTTATAGTGACAAAGTAAAGTGGATCATGAGGACTATAGTATGCCGATCGGGGAAGTTCATATATACTGTGGATACCGCTAAGGGCCAGTGGAAGAGACATAAGGATCAAATTAGAAAATCTTTTTAAAAAAGGGAGATTTTAAGAAATCTTAGGGAGATATTATTATTTTAATTTCTTTTATCGATTTTTTGGATTGTTATTATTTTTTATTTTTTTTATCGATTTTTTTGAATTGTGACTAATTTTTTTTTGACCAATTCTTAGAATTTGTATTTTTTGAAAAAGATTTTTTTTGTTTTTTTTCTTAGAAAAAAAAAATAAAAAATTATATTTTTTTGAAAAAAGATTTTGGTTTTTTTCTTAGAAAATGAAAAATAAAAAAGTTGTATGAAAAATAATAAAATTGAAAAAAGAAAATCCATTCAGCATTAAGGAAATATAACATTATTTAAGATTACGTAAATCTCGACTTAGAAATTAAACATAAGAAATTTAACAAATGTAATAGGAAAAAAATAACTGCTGTTCAAACATTATCAGTTTTTAAAAAAACTGTTCATTCATGTCTGCTGAAATTAGTGTTGTTAAAATGTCCAATTTGGCTCAATTTTTAAAACAGCTTGATTAAGATTTTAGCCAAAATAATATTATGCCCTCGAGATTTTGTAAATAGAGATTCAAATATTGCTTCCACCTATGAGCAAAATCTCCAAACTTATACATATTTTGTCTAAAATTTTAATCTGGTCATTTATATAAATCGATCCGAATCAGACTTTACAAAAATATTAGCTGAAATATCTAGTGCGACAACCGCACCCCATATTTAATGAGAAACGAGGAGTTAATAGTGGATGAAGATAATTATAAAGGTGCCAAGATTCAGAATAAAGATGAGGCTTAAGCTTTCAAAAACAAAAAGAAGAGGTTAGATCATTTAGTTATTCTTATTTCAAATATTTTTTAGAACCAACAGATCTAAATCAGGTATTACCAAATAGGTCAACATCACTTGAAAAGACTGCTACTAATAATGGAAGACAATTTTCTTTAAAGTTTTATAAATACGAAATGTATAAAATAATTAATTGAAGCTGATGCAGTTTTTTGATTTCCTTGTAAGATTTATTATTTAAACAATGGTGAATCAACCCATACTAAAACGGGTTTTACTAACTGGAAGAAGGTTCTTGAAAAAAAAAATCAGAAAATTTAAAGATTGTGTTGCATCCTGTGACATGGAACGGAACTTTGAGTGAATTTATGGAACGGGACGTGTACCGGAACCTTCCTGAAATATATATATTTATTATTTAATTCTATAATTAAAAAATAAATTTTTTTAATCCGTTTAGCAGGTGACTATATAAAGTTCTTTTTATTTTTTAAATGATACACTGAAATTTTTTTTCTCCGATGAAGATTGGAAAATATGGGAAGCTAACTTTTCCAAAAAGAGAACATTTTTCCAAGTGACTTTATATGTCAATGGACCATCTGTAAAACAAGGCTTCAAAAAATTAATTCCCTGTTATCACAAAACTTGATTTCAACTCTCAACAAAAGGGAAAAAATGCATTACTTTGTCCTGCCTTATATCTAGATCCTAGGTTTAATCTTTTTTGAACGAAGAGGAAAATAATATAGCTATAAATCATTTATTGGTTACATGGGAACATATTAAAAATTTAAGAATGAAGATTTAAATATAAGTAATTTTGATAAATCTTCTGAAGAAAGACAAGATTATGATGAATTTTAAATGTTTCTAAGGTCTAAGGATAAAGAAGGAAAACATAGCGAAACTTACATAAAAGACGATATTCTATCAACACTGTAAAAAAAATTAGAGCGGGATCGTCTAGATAAATAAATAGAAATATTTGCTAGAATACTGGGCATCCAATAAAATAAAAAAAATTTATCCTGTATATATTGGCCCAAATCGTATTAGCAACTCCATGTAGCCAGGTCAGTGTTGAACGTTGTTTTTCGATACTCAAATTTATAATCAAACCAAAAAGAACACGTAATGATAATCTTTTAGAAAATATATTAGAGCTTTAATCTAATAAATGATTCATTTAATGATTAAATAAAGATTAATTAAAATGTGAATAAAAAATATAATTAGATATTTTTCTAGGAACGTTCCAAAAGGTGGAACGAAACAATTTTTTGACCGGAGCTTAACGGAACAAAACGCAAAAAATGCCTTTGTTCTGGGTCCCTGATAGAGTTGTTAAAGGATCGAAAGATCGCCGATCCTAAATTCGATCCTAAATTTGTCAATTTTCTCGGATTTAAGATCCTGACTTTAAATTGTGGATCGTGATCTAGATCATTTTTTTAAATATTAGATCCCGATCCTTTTAAAAATTTATTTTTTACTTAAAAAGCAATAAATAAAAAATTTTGAAAATTAAATTAAAATATTATTTAAAAAAAATATCTATCTATATCATATTTAATCAGGGACCCGAACCGTTATTTATAACGGTTAAGTTGGATTACGGTTCAGTTTGTAAAATATTATAATGGTTACGTTTTGGTTACGGTTCTTAAAAAAAATTTATAAAGGTTCGGTTCAGATAATTATAAAGATTTATAAAGGTTCATTACGGTTTGAAATTTTTTTTAATTGAAGAAACACCATTGTCTAATTTATTTTATTATAAACGTCTATGAATTATATATATAAAAAAAATATATAAGATTAAAAATAACTCATTTTTAAATATATAATTTGAACAACGTATAAGTAATATATTTTCTAATATAAATGGATTCATATTTGTTCGTTGTGACGATATCACAAATTCTAACCCCGAAAAGGCCCTTTCTACAGAAACTTGTGCTGCGAGAACCACCAGTACTATAAGAGCAGGTTTATATAATTCTGGATATTCAAATTATTTTAATTTCTAAAAAATAAAAACTGAACCGGTTTAACCTTTTTTTATAAAGGTTCTTTTTACTCATTCAAAGAATAATTATATTGGTTCGGTTATATGGTTCAGATATTTATAAAGGTTTATAATGATTAAACGGTTCGTTACGGTTCACTCCGGGTCCCTGTATTTTATCAACCACCATTCCATCAGATTTTATATTTCAGCAATTTCCCAAATTTTTTGTAAGTACAAGTTATATTTATTTATTAATTATATTATAATATAAATAAATTCTAGGTTTTAATAATGTCCTCCATTATAGATTTAGAAGATGATACATCTACTTCTATTGATATGATAGTAGATATAAATGAGAATGAGAATCTTTTACCATTTCATAATTTACATAAGGATTTTACTTTATGTGAAATGAATGTAAGTAACCATACAATGATCTATGCAAAATGCTCTTTATGCAAAAACAAAATATCTTCTTCAAAGATTAGCAGTTCAAACCTAAAGAGGCATTTAGAAGTAATTAATTCTTTTAAAAATTATTTGTGAAGATCATAACAATATGCATATAATAAGAATTATAGATTTCCTTCACTATATGATGACAATAATATATTGGCATCAATAATTCACCCAAAATTTAAGCTCATTGGCCTTTTATTAATCTGCCACAAAATTTGTTGCTAAAAGAAATGTTAATTGCCCATTTAGCAAATATACAGGGTTGATCATATGCAGATCCTTCAAATAAATGCATGAATGAAATCGATACCTTTTTTTGGAAAAATTCGTCAGCAAATGCTCTTTCCATTAATAATTTTTTTTATTCTAATGATGATTCAGTGAATATTTTTAACTACAGGAGCGCTTGTTTAGTAAAGCTAAACATGTATGAAAAACGTGGTTGTTTAAATGATGATGATTTAGAAAAACTTTTATTATTAAAGGCTAATTTAATAATAAATAAATATATTTTAATTGTTATACTTATATTATATTATTCAATTACAATAAATTTATACCATATTTAATTAATTTTTATATTAGTTAATTTTGCATCGATCAGAAATTTAAATAAGAAAAGGATCGTGATCGTGATCCTTTTTTTAAAAAAAAAGGTCGATCCTAAATTTCGATCCTCTTTTTTTCGAAAGATCGTGATCGGGATTCGTCTTTTTAAAAATCGATTAACAAGCCTGGTCCCTGGTAACATCATATTTTGTCAAACTTTTATATCCACACAAAAATGCATTTCCAAGCATTATGCATCAGTTTAGATCATCCTCATCGAGTTGTGAAAGAGAATTATTAAATCAGATAAACGTTAGAATATTAATATAAGAAAGGGCAACTTGGTTTTACTAAGACATGAAAAATCATACTGAAACTATTAACTTTGGAAATGTTTTTAAGGCATTTAAAAATACATCTCAACAAAAATTATATTGTTAATGCTTTATTTTTATTAGTTTTACACTGCTCAATCATTAATAATATAATCAATTGTAATATAGTTATAAAATTTTCTTAATTGCATATATTTTATAATTGAATATCTAACAAGTATTACAAGCACAATTAAACTATATAAACATTATTACAATTTGTAAAAACATTAATTCAACTTATTCCTTTTCAGATATAAGTCAATTCTCATCTGCCATTTAATTTTATAATTATATTTTATCATAATTATATTTTTAAATTTTTATATGTGGCATTTTTCAAATAAAATCATTCAATTTTATGTTCAAATAACTCAAATATTCGTTCTATGATGTTAAAAAAAATTTCTTAACTGTCCCTCCAAAATTTTAACCCCCTCCCTCCGCTATATGGATGAAATGGGTGAATTTAGAATAGTCCTGTTAGGTAAAGAACGAAATAGGAATATTATTCACTCAAGTGAAAGGTGTGGCATGTGTCATAGAATAAAGGATAAATAAACTAAATATTTAGCCAAATATGGAAATTTTTTTTATGTTTGAAGCATATTAATGCATTGTTATGCATGACAAAATTAATATATTTCAAGGTCCTATATTTTTTTTATGTTTGAATGTATTAGTGTGAATCTTTTTTATGAAAGAATATAAAAATTATGAATTATAATGATATGAAAGATAAATTATTTTTTTTAAATTTAATATTTTAAATTTTAAAAAAGTGTTAGAAAATTTCGGCACATATAATATCCTCATTATATTTAATCTAAGCATAATAAATTAAAATAAATATTTTATAAGTGTAAGGTTAGTTCTTATATCCAAATATCATGAATATAAATGTAGATATATATATATTTAAAATTGGGGTCTATTAGACCCCACCAGAGCATTTACATCATTTTTTTCACCGTAACATTGAAGAGTTAAAATCTCTTTTTTTTAAAAAAAAATTTGAATTATAGTCGTTATTTTAAAAATTTATTAATTTTTACTCATTTTTCTTTAAAATTCTTCCTCAAAATTATATATTGCATACATTCTTTGAGAAAAGAGTGGTGGAGAAAAATTTTTCTTAGCTTAAAATGATATTTACGAGAACATGCAAATTTGCGATGGGCTGGTTACGCGCCTGTTAAGATGGGTTTTTTTTAAAAAAAGGATTTCGGTATTATGGTATCTTATCAGAATCGCCAGAAAATAAAGAGCCACGCAACTCTAAAAAGCACGGCCCTAACCGTGAAAAATATTAAAATTGTCTTTCGGCCGCCCGTAATATCTTTTAACCTGGCCCAAAAAATAATTTGCACAAATTTGGTGCAGTCCGAAAACTTTGCAAACCTCACCCACAGGCTGATCTTTATGCCTTGCCCAAAATTTTTTTTAAACTAGCTTGATCATTGGCTTTATCAGTGCTCTGTGTAGTTTTAAAAATATCGTTCTATCACGATCTTAAATATTACTTATTTTAGATTTTCAATATTCACCAAATTATACCCCAAAAAAGTATTCAAAAATTTTACTCCAAGTCTATCAATTAAAATAATAAGCCGACCCCAGATTTTAAGAAAGCAATTTCGATTTAGCTCTTAAGTTTAAAAAGATATTTTATATCTGATGTAAAGGAAATTAAAAGGTGAATTCTAGGTGAATCCTAGAGGGTGTTTAAAATTTTATAATTTTTGAAAGATATTTTAACGAAATTTAAACTGTTGAATAAATTACATTTATTTTTATCATATTATGAATTTAATCAATATCAATATCTAAAGTAGTGATGCGTCCTAAGATATAAACATTACATTAGTTATAATTAGAGACTGCAGAGGTAACATTTGCACGGCCCGGCCTGGATTTTTTTTCAAAAATCTTTTGGGCATGGCCTGGGTTTTATATTTTTAGGCCCAGCCCGGGTATTTAAAAAAAAATAATATGATTCGGGTACTGCAGGTCTGATATGTATATATATATAGATAATATACCTATATCTTGTTTTTCGACATTTTGAGATATGTTAGACCTGAGGGTAGTGGACGGAGTCGAATCGAACATACTTATTATGGCCGCTAAAAAATTATGTGAGATAAATTTTTTTTAAATTTTTAAGATAGGAGAGCCTCCAATGAGAAAGAAGTATTTAAGAAGGAATGCAGAGTATTTAAAGCTTAGAGGTTAATGTTTTTTTAAAAAGAAAAAGTTAAACTGTAAATTTTTGTTTTAAGTTGCGTCCAAACTTGTTTCAAAAAAACAAAACCTTAAGGAAACCTAATGATAAAGTTTTAAAAATTTGGCAAATAGTTTTTGGCTATATCTTCATTTTTCTATTCACAACTTATTTCGTGTTTTTTTTCCTTAAAGTTTTGAAAGTTTTTGAATTAAATTTTTTGACGTTTTGGACACAGCAAACTTATTCAAAGTAAATTTCGTTCACTTTAAAATTGGAGTGTACACTCAATTTTTTTTAATTTCATGAGTTAGCTATAATTAAAAGAAAATATCGTATTCCTACATGTAATACTTATATTTTAAAGCAGAAAACTTGGCCGCGCCAGCTAAAAAAAAATTTTTGAATAGCTAGCACGAATATTTTGAAATGAATTTAAATTGTATAAATTAATTGAATTCGAGAATCATAAAAGGAAAAGTTTAACATACATTTGCTGCTCATATTTTCAGTTCCCTTATAAAAATATTCCCCAAAATTTTCAGGAGAGGAAGGAAGGAAAGATTGTAAATTAGAATTTAAAAAACCGATCCGTGTTTAAGAAAAAAAAACTGGTCGTAGGTTTAAGAATAAAAACAGTCTAGGGTTAAGAATAAAAAACAGCCGAGCTAAAAAAAAAATTAAAAAAAACCAAGATCGGGGCTAAAGTAAAAAATAAATCTTGACTGAATGAATAAAACTTTTAAATCAGACTAGGGCAAAAAATTCGACCGCTGTAGGTCTCTGATTTAAAGACCCTAACCATGTAGATGTCATTTAAAATATAAATGTTTTATTTGTATATAAATCAAAAAAAAATTAAAGCTTTTGCTCAGTTTTTGAACCTTCAAAGTCGGAGTGCCACTTTAGTTAAATGAATGACAAATTAAATTGTTTAATAAATATGCGTGCCAATCAGAAATGATTCCTTTTATCAGCACGCATAACAACTTTTCTCGCCCCTCTCACGAGATTTTTTTTCTTCCCATTATATTGTTTTCTAACAGTTTGAAACCAGAAACATAACTCGAAATCGGGTTAAAATGTTTAGAAAAAGAACCTTTTTTTAAAGGGGAATTGGAAAATCCCCTTAAAATTTACAGGAACTGGAAGCAATTTTGAAAGATATTAGTCAAAACTGGAACCTTTTTTTATTTATTTTAAATTCTTTATAAAATATGTTGGACAAAAAGATATTCATTTCGGAAATAAGCTTCTTAAAATTTTATTATATTTATATTAATTAATTTTATAGTAATATGTTGCAGAATCATGCAGCCAGCCCAGCCCGCAAGATCAATAAAAAAATAGAGGTCTGACCCATGGCCCGAAAAGATATTATATTTCCTTCTTATTCTAAGCTTTTTTTGCCTAATTTGAATATCACAATTCAAAAATGATTTTTTTTTAAAAAAAAAACAGAAAAAAGCTGTTTAAATAGTCAGTTGTATGTTTTATTTTCATTTTATAAAATCAAGAAATATTATAAAATCATAATTTATTTGCTCAACATTTATATTTAATGCATAGCACATAATAGAGAAGATATTAAAGAAATTAAGTTTGAAACATATTTCCATAATTCCATCTATAAAAAGTCGGTGCCTAAAAATTTTATAACACCAGGTTTCGGATTGAGGGCCGAAAAATAGATCGCAGGTCCCTGGAAGGTGTCGCTCGGATTATGAAACTGGCTGGATATATTTATTACCTTTACATTTAGAATAAAACGGATGGAAGGCATATTTTAAAATTTTTGGGAATAAAAAAGGATTATAAAGAACTATTTATTATTATACATCTATGAAATTAACTATCAGGTTGTTTTGATAAAGATTGGCAAGTTATAATATAAATTAGAGGCATGCAAATAAATAAAAATAATTTTACCCATTGGTTTTGAAAAATGTTGTCTCCCATTTAATTTTTTTGTAAAAGCATAATAAATAAAAATGTAGAATATTATTTTGGAATGCGAACCCGGCAAAATTTTAGCCCCGGGTTCGGTTTATGGAAATATTTTTAAACCCGGGTTTGGTTCCGGGTTCAGCTCGGGTTTAAGAATTTTTGAATTGATATTAAAAAACTAGACATAAATTTGGTATAAAAATAAATTTTTTATTTTATTTATAGGCAAAATACATTTAAAAATACAAAACAGTCATAAACCTTGAAATAAAAGAGTTAAAGAGTAGTGTTGTTAAACGGCTCGTTTTGAGTCGATTTTTAAAAACAGCTAAGTCAATATTCTATCCAGAAAATTATTACGCAAACCTGAAGATTTTGCTCAAATAAGGAACAAAGGTCTAGACATATATTAACAAAATCTCGAGGCTTAGGGCATAATTTTTTTGGCTAAAACATTGAGTTAGCCGTTTTAGAGAATTGGCTCAAAATGAGCCATTTAACAACACTATTAAAGAGGATAAATTTTAAATAGCAATGATTTCATAGAATTAAAAAACAGATATATAAATTTAATTTCAATTATAATATACACTTCATTAATATATATTAAAAATTAATCTGAACAAAAAATAAATCAATATAATAATTTTTACTTTGACTTGTTCATTCCTTTAATTAGAAATCTTTGAGACTAAGTTAAAAATTGAAAATAAATGGCGTGAATGTATTTAATTGCTTTAAATTTATTTAACACTCCAATAGGAATCTTTGAAATTAAATTTTAAAATAAATTAAAAAATGGCGTAAATAAATTAAGTTGTTTAAAATTTATTATCACTTCACTTAATGATAATATTATAAAATCTCAATTAAATTATTAATATTTGTATTTACAATTATACAAATACCTTAATATATGATTTTAAACAATACACTGAACCCGCTTGAACCCGGGTTCATAAAAATTCCTGGGTTCGGTTCGGGGTTTTAAAAATTTTATAAATGGGGTTCAGGTTAGGTTCGGGTTCATATCAAAAACCCGGGTTTACTCCTCCGGGTTCAGGTTCGGTTCAAATCCCTGATTTTGACATAAAAAATTTATTTCTACCAAATATAATCTCATCTCTGCCTCGCCTGCAAAGAGCGCGCCTGTATTATTTTTTAAAATATTTTTTTTTTACTCGCCTCTAAAAAAGTTTTCATTTTTTTAAATAAAAATGGGTGACCGGTAGTATTGTTAAAGGACTCGATTTGGGGCGATAGCTAACTCAGCTCATAGGGGGGATAAAGGTTTGGACACCTATCTGCGAAATCTCGTGGCTTAAGCTATGGCTAAAATACAACGACAGGAACTTAATAGTTTATTATACTTTTTTCAAATATTTATTTGAAAAATCGGATCGGTTTTTAAATATCGGGTTGATTTAATTTTTTTTCGATAATGGTATATCTAATAATATTTGCCTATTTTATTAACAAAAAATAATTTCTTACAATAAGTGTCTTCTCTATTTTTATAAAAATGTAAAAGTCAAAAAATAATATTATAATTAGATTGGCTTCTCCACAATCGATTATTTTCCTGGGAAAAAAAATTAAGTACAAAATCTAATACTTACCATTTTTCTTTTTATATGTCAATCGTGAGGAGGGGGCTTCCCTAAAAATTTGGGACCCCTGCCAATTTAGAAGGCTAGCAATGCTGTGTTTTACTTATAAAGTAATATACTGTCTAGTGATTTCCATCATCCCAAATAATGCCCTTCTGAAAGAAATCAAAGATTTTACAGGAAATATTGTGATAGGTACTGAATTTTGAGGACTAAGAATGTATAATTTATGAATCTGGTTAATGACACATACTAACCTCAATTTATTCATTAAAATGGATACACTTTGAAGTCCACCATTGCATTGAATTTAGATAAAAAGTCTTTTGATGGTGTCTACTACAGTCAATGACATTGACTGCTATACAACTGACCTCAATGTATGCAAATTTTTAACAAATGAATCATCAAACATCAGTTCAGATTAGTATTATTGTCATGCTCTAGTGCAACAAACAATTATGAAGTTGATATTAGTCATGATGGTCTTTGAAATTATAGCTTTAAAATTTAGATCTGTATAAAATAAATGTATTATAACTAGTGCTGTAAACGTTACTACAAAAAAGAAACGCGTTACCGTTGCTCGTTACATCTGAAAAATGGAACGCGTTACCGTTACTCGTTACCATTTTACAAAAGGAACACGCGTTACCAGCTTTTCAAAAAAATAACGGGCTACTCGTTACTTAAAAAAATTAAATGTTATATATAATGCAAAAGAATATTTTTTTCCGACAATATATAATAAAATAAAACTATAAAAAAAGAACATATAAGATAAGATCTTTTTATAATAAAATTTTCATATATAATCATAATATGAATAAAATTATACAAAAATAATATATTATAAGATAACATCTTTATGTAACAATTTTTTAACAATTGATTTTCAAAATTTTGATCAGATAAACATGAGCGCTTAGTACTCAACACAGCCTTCGCCGTGCTAAACACACGTTCAATTGGCGCAGAGGATGGGAGAGTGGTGTTATATTTAATAAACAAAATTTTCAATTCGGGGAATTTATTAAAAATATTTAAGGAAATATCTTTATTTTGAAAAAAGCTTGAAAGATCATCTTCACAGAGATCTTCATTCATTTCCTCATCAAAAAAAATTTATCTTTATCTGAAAATATTCTAGTGTGTGTGTTGGATAAAGGAATCAAGCCTGTTCTTTCTTTATCAATATCTTTTCTCAAACTGGAAATAAGTTCCAGCATTCTTCCTTTATTGACCTCTAATTTTATCAAGGGCCAATCAAATTTAAATAGTGGGTGAATTATTGCCGATAGTATATATTCATCATCATAGATGTGTTTGAATCTATTGAAAATATGATAGTCAAAATATAAATTATAAGCAATATTTGAACTGTATACCTTTTATCTATGGCTTCCAGGATTGAATCAATAAGCGGCTTACAAAACTTAAAATTATTTAAAGCCAATTTTTTAAGTTTTGATATTATAATGGTTATAGTGGGAGTGAGATATCCCAAATGCATATTTTCTTCGCTCTCTAAAATTGAAAGAGCCGTAGCTATCGAATACATGGGTTAAATAATAAGATTCTATATATAGTATTTTAATAATAAAATCTATAATGAAATTAAATAAATTTTTTCAAAATCATTTCATGATTAAGTTTTTATGTTTAAAATAATTATATATTAATTCATTCTTTACCTTCAAATGTTTTTTTAAGTTTGAGCTACTTGACACTGACGTTGAAATATTTGCATTGAGACATAATTTACATTTACAAAGTGTAGACTTGGTACCATTAATTTTCTTAATTGGTTTAAAATATAATTCAAATTGGGGCCAGGGAAGGGTTAAATCATCTTCATCTGAAGAAGTAAGTAATGGACATAATATTCTTAAAATAAATTATAATAATAATATCATTATTAACATTTACTTTGAATTTTGATTGAATATTAATTTCGACTGATAATTTAACAACGAGAATTTTAAAAAAAATGTTGGAAGTGGTTGATATGAATTAAAACTCGGCTTAAATTATTAATATTAAGAAGAATTAAAAAATAAATAAAGTAATTTTATAATACAATAAAATATGTTTTTCTTTTTATTGATATTTTTAAGAAAAAATATAAAGTAATGAGTAAAGTAACGTTTTGTGTTACCGTTACTCAAAAAAAGAAACGCATTACCGTTACTTGTGACCTTTAGATAAAGGTAACGAATGGCGTTCCTTTTCTTCAAAAAGAGTAAAGATGTTACTTTTTGACGTTACTTCACAGCACTAATTATAACCATTCTACCAATTTTTTGATTTATTTCAGAGTTGATGTTTTAATTAATGTCATTTATAATTTGGCAAAATATGAGATCATGTGACTTTTGTTAATTTTATAATTCAAATATAATCAATATTAAAAGTGGTAATATATGTAGCTGTAAGAACTAAATAATGTTCTAAATAACAAACCTATAAAAATAACGTAGCCATATTTTGAAGTTCCAAACAGGATGAGCCCCAAAATTTTTGACAAAAATCCAATCATAGCTATTCTAAGATCTTGAATTTTATATTTTTTGAGGAGAGGTAAACATATAATGAGTGCTAGAATTTGGCCCAGTTTCCAAGTAAACAAAAAATTTGCAAACATATTGGCTGTCCAGTTGAATCTATGCACCACAAACAAGTACAAAGTATCAAATTCACCTTATAAATTAAAAAAAATGATGTATATCATTAATTACATTTGTATGAAATAAAACATTAACCTATTATGCCAACGGAGGATTAAAAATCATTTAAAGTTAAAGTAATATAAAATTTTAAATAAATTTAAATTATAATAAAACTCACCAACTGTAACAAATGTCAAAATGTTTAGCAACATACATAAAAATAATAATTTGATTTTAGTTGAATGTGCAAGATTTTTAACTGTGTTATAGTTATCTCTTATAGCAGTAATAATATTCCAAATTTTAGGAGAATGACTAATATTGGTAAAATTAAAAGTCTCAATTGCAGATTCATTGTGTATATCAAAGTTTTTAGTGGTAAAAATAACTATTAAAAAGCATATTGATAACATATAGATAGATCCAATTATAAGGAATACATATTTTAATGATATAATCTTTAACAATATTCCACCAGATAAAGATCCACATATAATTCCTATTAATCCACAAGTTTCTAATATGGCAAATTTTATAGTCCTTTGCTTCTTTGAGCTAAAATGTGAGATAAAACTATATAACGCTAGCATTTCTATAATTATTCCACCAAACAAACCATTAATCATTGGTCCAATAATTATGTATTTAATTGTTATATAAGGATATGAGGATACAAAGACATTCAAAATTGCTGATATCAAGCCACCTACAAAAGGAAAAAATATTGGCTTTTTTCTATCATATATATCTGACCAAGATCCAACTATTATGGACAACAATATGGTCGGTAAAGATCCAGCTAATGTTGAATAAAATATATATTGAGATGCTAATGTTTGAATTTTGATATCCCAATCATTTTTAACGACTATATTTTCAATTGAAGTATTATTCAAATTAAAAAAATTTGAAATTTGTATACATATATGTGGATTAAAATTTGGATATAAACTATGCATGGCTGAGGAGTTTAAGTCTGAAAAACATAAGATTTTTTCCATAGCTTTTACGTATACTAAAGAGCTAAAAGTTGGATAATTTAATAAAAGTGCAAAATTGAAAAATAAAAAAGTTGGTTCAACCGATATCGAATTCATGTAGGATTTTATCTTGCTTATCATTTTATTTCGCCTCGATAACTTCGGTAATTTAAATAAACCGAATAAGGATACTTTATTTATTTATTTCGGCAAGATTATCGAAAACCACTATGATAAACTTTATGTCAATCATTGCCAAAAAATATAAAAAAGAATCAAGAAATCCTTTAAAGTATTATGATTTTTTTCTAAGAGGGCTTGTTTTTAAAAATCCATTAAATTATTTCAGATTAGTTAAATTTCTAGATTATTTATCATTATCAAGTCAGTGGCCAGCGTCTACATGAGCGGGAAGGGTAGGAACAGTTTGCATCCTATTTTTTGAGGGGGTAGGGGGTAAGCTGCTTTAATGGGGGAAGCATAAATTTTTTTGGGGGGGGGGGTTATCTATTAAATTTTGAGATGAAATAGGACAAAATTTATTGCTGTAAAAATTAATACTTTTATTATAGTATTATTATTATACAATTCATCAACCAAATCTATATATTGCAAACAATCATACACATTGTTTTCCAAATAAACTATCCTTTTAAATATAATTCAAAAGGTTTATATTCAAGCTCATAATGCCATAATAATTAATTCATTGTAAATAATGGAGGTTTTTAAAATTAAATTTATTATCTAAAATATAAATTATTCACAAAATATCGATAGTTGGTAGTAGAGGTAGATTAATTTAAGTTATCCTCTATAAATTCTTTGAAAAAGTATCAATAAATAAATGGGTGAAAATCATGATAAAAAGACACCGCCGCCGAAGTCGGCGAGGATTTTTTAGGGGGGTAGGCAAAGGTTTTTGAAGGGGGTTTGCATCCAGTGAAAATCCTATCATGTAGACGCTGTCAGTGGTGTAGCTAGGAAAAAATATTAATTCTAAAATTTGCAAATATTTGTGCTTTATTAATGTCTAACCCCTTAAGTAGCCAGCATAAATGAAAAAATATTAATAACAAAATTTTGGCCAAATTTATGATTAATAGGCGTCTGAAAGCATTATTCTGAAAATTTTATAAATGGTTAGGGGTCAATTGTAAATTATTACAATCTATTCAGTGTAGAAAGAAGAAGAAAATTTGCCCTTTCCCCCCAAACCTCCCATTTTTTATGATCATTAAATATATTATTATTTTAATTAAATTTTTGTATATAACAAAATTTTACAGAGAATTTTATTATAGATTTTATTTATTATTAAAATACTTCAGTATTAATAACATCCTTTTATTTAACTATGTATTTGTCAAATAATGAAATTTGTCATATTGAGAAAAGTTGGAACCCAAAAAAATAAAATATAAATATAAAGAAATATAATTAAATACTAAACTATAAAATTTAAATCTTTATTAATTACTAATAATTAATTATAATTAAATATAAAGTGGAAACATAACCAAAAATAAAAGAAATATAAAAATTAATATAAGAAAAAAAATAAATAAAATAAAATAAAAGTAAAAAAGATAAAAGATAATATCCTCTCTTTCTATATAAAACCATATATATATAGTGTCATTATTTACATAATTTAATACTCGTCGTATTATTAACAATATACATATTCAAATTTTACATGAACTCTAAATATTCAACTTTATGGAAAAAAAACTATTTCCCGTAAAATTCAAATTTATATACACAAGATCTTTAATCAAAATAATACAATGACAACATCCTTCCACTTAAGTCAGACCCACCACTTAGTGAATGACCAACTTCTTTCGATTTTGACTTTACTGATCTTGTATCTCCACCAAATCTATTCTGCTTAATCTTTAATGTTCTAACGATGGTCGTCCATTGTCTAGTAATCTTCACTTCTAAGGATTGTTTGTATCCGATAACAGCTTGAAATTCTGGGATCCTATCTTCTGTTATAGCTCTTGATATCAATAATTGACGAACCAGATTAACTCTTGCTTTTAAACGATCCACGATTGCTAGTCAACGATTATCGATTGATACTATCTTTACCATCTTTGCTTCTTCTAAAGCCTTTTGAATTCTCTAGATAAATTATTCTAGTCTTAGCTTGTTTCTAACGTTCGTAATGAAGGATTAGCGCTTTATTTCTGTAACCGATTGATGACTTATGTTAACGTTTAACGATTCTAGCTTGAAAGTATTGACCAGTTGTTCTTGCTAGTCGTCTATTTCTAACGTTCTTTTGTGTTAAGCGATTGACTCTTTATCTCTGTAAACGTAAAAATAATTGTTTTTTAATTTTTTGAAGCCAGTTTTAAAAGACTCATTTAATAAGTCCAAATCCAAAATCTGTTTCCATGATAACAATATACAAAACCGTCATCTAGCAAGATTAAATTTTTTATTGAGTACATAAAAAAATAAGGAAATTAATATAATTTAAAAAAAGTATATTCAAGCATGTTTCAAATATTTATTGAATGCAATAAATAAATATTATACTTCATTAACATATTATAAGAATAATGAAAATTTTGGAAACTCTCATCAAAATAAGGAATCTCTGATTCAAACCTCATATAGGCTTATTTCTGATTTATCCAACATCAGGGGCGTCGTTAGCTTTTACAATCTCAATGGGTCTCAACTTAAAAAATATTTATGGGGGGGTTTTGCCCCCATACCCCTAAATTTACGAACCTTCGGCCAGCTTTTGACCGGCCTTCGGCCGGGTTTTATATTAATATATTATACTTTTTTAAAATTTGTTAACTCTAAACAATTATTCTGAATTTCATATTTTGCCTTTTATTATATTTTGCATACAAAATAAACTAGCATATAAATAATTAAAACAATATAAGACATTTCTAAAAATAATATTTTTTAATACAAAATTTATATAATATTTTCGATTGCTGATATGAAAAAATTTTGCGTCTAAAGAATTACAAGTGATAAAAAAAGTTAATTAATTCATACATGTGCCTCAATTGATAATGGTTTCTAAAAACCACGTAAGGCTATATAATTTTTAGCAAGTTACATTGACAAAAGGTCATGAAACTAATATAACTCTCTGTTACCATTTTAGACAAATGTTTTATAGAATGGACTAATAAGGAAAAATTTATAGGTCTTACCAAATCAACAATTCTTGAAGAAGAGAATATAAACGACCAATCCATAACATAATACTCTATGGTGGTTAGAGCTTCCTCTAAGACAGCGTCTACATGACAGGATTTTCACTAGATGCAAACCCCCTTCAAAAACCTTTGCCTACCCCCCTAAAAAATCAGTTTACCATTATTTTCACCTATTTATTTATTGATACTCTTTTCAAAGAATTTATAAAAGATAACTTAAATTAATCTATCTCTACTACCAACTATCGATATTTTGTGAATATAAAGAATTTATTTAGATTTAAAACCTCCATCATTTACAATGAATTAATTATTATGGCATTATGAGCTTGCTGAAATATATAAACCTTTTAAATTACATTTAAAAGGATAGTTTATTTGGAAAACAATCTGTATGATTGTTTGCAATATATAGATTTGGTCGATGAATTGTATTATAATAATACTATAATAAAAGTATTAATTTTTACAGCAATAAATTTTGTCCTATTTCATCTCAAAATTTAATAGATAACCTCCCAAATAATTTATCCTACCCCCATTAAAGCAGCTTACCCCCTACCCCCTCAAAAAAATATGATGCAAACTGTTCCTACCACTCCCGCTCATGTAGACACTGCTCTAAGATGTCATAATGGAAGCTAGATAAATAATCGAGAAAAGTTTTGTGAGATATTAATTCTAAAAGATTATCTTCCATTTTTAATGATTCATAAACGACTGTACAGTTGGTCATTATTGTTTATCTAGAATGTGCAATCATATGCTCTCAGCAGCTGTAGTAATAATGTTAAATTACATTGCCACACAAATAATAGATTATGTTAATTTGCAGCCATAGCCATGATACTCAAGATGGTAACCAATATCAGAATTTATTATGTTAGATTAATTGATACAAAAACACAAAATCTTTAGAAGAAATAATGCAAATATATTGAAGCCTTGAGTTATTTACACGGCAAGGATACAATGATATATATAACTATAGATTGGCGATCATGCATAAAAAAACGTCCACACATTGAAATCAGCTGTAGCGCCATTTTCTAGCTTGTACGTTGATCAAATGCCTCAATAATAATAATAATTTTTAAAAATTTTATGTCTAATAAATTGTTAATAATGTAATTATGTAAAATAATC